TACAGGCAGTCCAAGTCATTCTTTATCTCGCTTTAATTGAATAAAGTCTGTGTCTGAAGTTTTCTTATATCACAGCTGTTACCAAAACAATTTATAAATTATTTAATTTCATTTAGACAATTTACAAAAGTAATGCCTACAATTAGGCTAACCGAAAATATTGATTAGCAAAGACATACACCTATACTAGTTTCTTTTAAGCACTCTATAAGAATTTTATCGCACTTATATAATTTTACAGTAGTTTAACCTGTATTTTGTATTTAAGCTAAGCTTTTTGGATCGAGTGTTAAAATTTAATATTAATAAAGACAGCAACAACTTCGCAAAGTGAACTAATTTCACTCATAATTCCCCCTGCTCCATCACGTACCCAACTAGTTTTTTTCAGCAACTATTTTGCCAAGCTTTTAACTGTGAAGGCGTACGCCATCGTCTGACCAACTGTCAAAATTTTCGCTTACCACTTTCCACCATTCGGCTGCGCATTAACTGCGAACTCTCCACCGACGCCGCATAACGAGCTGTTATTTATGTAGAGTACGCTAAGCGAAGCGAGTTGTTGTGTGGCATAAAAACTGGCTAGCCACTTGGCTTTGCCACATTTCACGGTACCGGGCAACTGCCACGCCCACTCAGTGTGCCTTAATAATATCCAATTAAAAGTTTTGCTATTAAAAAAGCGCTCAGCTGGATGAAGAAGCGGCGAAAAACTGTCTCCGCTGTTAATTTCTCGCATGTACTGTGATTTCCAGTCGTTTTGTTTTTGTTGTTGGCCTACACCGCTGTTGGCACTTGAAGCGTGTGCTTTTTGCTGGCAGGCATTTGTACCCAGCGTTGCATGCGACAGAAGTGGGTTAATTGAATTTGTGCCCGAGTTTCGAAGTCGGCGCTGGAACTCGCGGCGTTGATGAAGTGACGCTTTGTTGTTGTTGTTATGGTTTTTGTGTGCTCTTTGTATTTTTATTCACACCAATTTTTTCGCTGCGTTATCTGCCGTTGCGCCCCTATGCGCTGTGTTGTTGTATTTGTTGTAGCTGTGTTTCGCCATGAAAAGTAATTTATTGCAGTTTCAACTTTGTTTAATTGTGTTCCACGCATTCAGTGCCAAGTGTGCTTGCCGCCGCCACCGCAGTTGTGGTTACCACTGGCATTTCGCTCACCATTTCACACGTGCCCGCGGCGAGGTTTTCGCTGACCGCCGAATTCTAGTTTATGACGGTTTCGCAAAACTTTCAAGTCGAAAATTTAGTGTTATTCTTATTGGTGGAATAAAATTAGATTTTTTCAGATCGCTTCGAAATCTGTATGACAGACATTTCTGCAAGTTAACTAAAAAATAAAAATTGGTAGACTTGGATTTCATTGTATTGAGTGTTGAAAAGGGATTTAGACAGAAAGAAATATAATTAGAAATCGTATGGTGAAGTAAATATATGTATTTTTACATCATCGAAGAAAGCAGACCAGTTTAGACATTGATAAAAACTAAGTTAAAAGAAGGCAATTATAATTTGTGCCATGTTTTTCTTTTTTGAAAATGTTTAAATTCCACTGTTCTTGAGACTAATTTTCCAACTTAAATATTTATATCCGCCTGAATGTAGGCAACGTTAGTCATGATACTAAGTATGAAATATTGGACTTGGGTAAGCTCACACCAAACCACTAGCGCAACCGCGAGACCACTTTGTGGCAGTGTTTGAGACTTTAAAGTGCTATCTGAAAGATTTTCTGCATTGTTTCGTAACCTTCGGCAAATCATGGGGGCACTAGTATACGAAAGAAACCAAAGAGTATTCCAAATAGTGAAATTCAGCTAGCAAACATGCTCCGCACAAAGCGTACGCGGTCCTATCGGCCGCCAGGATGATGAAAACCGTTTTCTGAAATTCACTAAGTGTGTTATGCATCGACTACATGGAGAAGGGCAAACATGGGCTCTGCTATATCGAGTTATTGAACCGAGAATATATTTTTCAGATGGTGCACAGTTGAAGCTTCGTTGAATTGAGTATATTTAGCTAAGAGTTGACTATGTCGAGAAATAAATCGCCATTTTTCGAGAATTTCATTTTTATTTTGTGAGCTAGTAAGTAATTATTGGGTGGTACTCAAAGTGAGTGAGCGATGTTATTTAAAAGCAAGTAAAACCGTCAGTTCGTATGACTGCTATATGCAATACTAATCCGATCTGAAAAATTTGTTTGGAGATTTCTTGAAGATATCTTGTCAAATAGTTTCCCACACAAAGATTTAATTTTGATCGACCAGTTTGTGCGCAAAATTTCCGGTCGCTATCCCAAAAACTGAGGGTGTAGTTCGCGTATATAGATACGGACAGACAGACCAACTAAATGGCTAAATCGACTCAGCCTATCACGCTGATAATTTATGTATACTTTTTAGGGTTTCGACCATTCCTTCTGCGTGTTACGTAGTTCGTGGTAAATCTAAAATACCCTGTTCAGGGTATAAGAATATTATATTCATATTTGCATCGTATAATATTCACTGTAAACTTTCTCTTCTCTCTGTTTTATGTTTTCTCAAACGATATAATATTGGTTATAGAATATCCTCAAAGCAATGCACGCCAATTAGAAATTTTGCACATAGAAATTTATTAGTATAAATTATTTTTAAATTTGACGAGCTCATACAAGTATTGCATACATTTTCTCAGTGTCAATCGTAAATATTAAAAATTCCCTCGTTAATTTTATATTTTCATCTTTGAGGCGTTAAATGAGTCATTCCACTCGATAGAGCAATTTAATTGAAAGCTCAAGAGCTGAAATATTTGCGCAATCATAAATTTGAAATTTTAATTAGCGCGCTACAACAATAATATTTTCTTAAGCGCACATTGAACATTCAAGGCGTCAATTGTCTCGAGTTTTTCTATGCGCCACATTGCATTTATGGCCAATTTTCCACACTTCAATTCATTTCAAGCGAAGAATGAAGGCAATAAAGTAAAAATATTCGCCTCATTGATGTTGTTGTTGTAGTTGTAGTTGTATGCGAGTACTAAAATGCTGTTTTAAATAGATTTAAGTGCAAAACTATGCAAGTTCACGGGCACACCTACATAGATTTTAACATATACATTGCCAATACGTATACATACATACATACATATAAATTTTTTCTTTTAAAATTGCTTACAAGACCATCGCAAGTGAATATTCTTATTTTGTGAAATATTGCCATTAATTGCCTGTAATAAATGCGCTCGTTATATCTAAGTGCGGATACGCCACATTTAAATTTTTACTGCAAGTGTAGCCCCGTTGGTTATTAAGCATATTATTAGCAATTTTGGACTAAAGCGCTAGTTTTCAGCTGTTTTGTGAAGAACAATGTCTTTATTTTCAATTTTATGGGGTATATTGTTGCGTACTTTTATAGGTTCTCTTTCATCTGGCAATCTTCAAGAGATACCCATGTACATTCAGAATATATTTCGATATATGTATGGGCAATTGTTATGTTTCTGAATTACCAGAAATATTTGATGACTGAAAATTAAAATATAAATTTATTTAACTTTTAAAGGAGTTCAATATGGTTGAAAATATGTTTCTTTGGATATATCAGCTTGAAGGGTTATGCCAGTATGAGATTGTCAAAAAATCGAAATTTTTTGGCTTAAAGCATACTTAAGAGTCCTAAAACATAATATAATTGATAAGACCAGGGTAAATCATTTTTGAAAGCAAAAAATCATAGTATGATGAAACCCATTGGAAACGAAAGATGAAATAGCAAAAAATGATAAATAATTTACGTTCGATCTGAGGTCGGGAACTTTTAAGTGTTAAAAATGGCTTGAATTGATTTCCGATTCCTAAACTACGAATTTACACCCTTTTCATATAACCTCAAAATGTCTTGAAGTTTTTAGGTTTTTTTATTTTTATCTTGTAAAAAAAATATGAATTCTTTTATTTCAAATATTAAATAGTATTATTTTCGCTTAAAAATCGAAAATCCCAAAATGTATATCAAAAATTCAAATTTCGAAGTTTTTAGGCTATTTATTTTTATCTTGTAAAAAAAATTTGAATTATTTTATTTCATATACTAAATATTATTATATTCGACTAAAAATCAAACATATCCCTATATAAACACGAAGAGACTAGCCCTCAGCTTCTCACCCCAAGAAGCTGCGCATTTGTTGGGATCGCTGATATCACACCACTATAGTATATAACTGACATACAAACTGAGCGATCGAAATCAAGTTCTTGTATGGGAAACTTTTTTATATCATGAAATATCTTTACATGAATGAATTTGTATCTAAAGCAACGCAGCAATCTTCGAAAAAATAGTTCAAATCGAACCGCTATAGCATATAGCTGCCTTACAAACCGACCGATTCAAATTAAGAGAGAGTTCTTTTTATAACCATTTATGCTATAATAAATGTATCCGTGAAGGGTATTATTGCTTTGGCGTAGCCGAAGTTAACGTTCTTTTTCTTTCAAAACAATTTATTGCTAATTTTTTCATTCATATTTTTTACCCCTGTTTTAAAGTACACCATTTAAAAAAAAATTAATATAAGACCTTTTTGATATTATATAAGATACGTAGATACATAGATTAAGATCTTGATTATTATTTATTTTCAGATGACCAGGGTTCCTAGAAACACTGTTGCACGAAAAGACCCTCTTGAAAAAGGTTACTCTGAAGATTTTCTCTGTAACCGTAATTTTATATGAAAATGTCAATATACTTGTACAAAATTTTTATGTACTTAAATGTGTATATATTATATTAAGTAATGTCTGACAGTGAAAATTTCGATTCCTTTTTTCTTACGCCTTCCATAAATTGGAAAATTCGAAAATTTGTGAGAATTTTTTAACCCTTTAAATATATATTCGAAGCATTGTTTAGTCATATTTGAGAGTAAAAAATACATTTTGTTTACTCAAAAATTCGTATCAACTAAAAAACAAATGTCAACACGGTAAATTTACCTCCATTTGCGAGCCCTTCTTGCCCATCGAGCTGCTCGTGTGGCCGCCACTCTGTGCTGCGTTCATTTTTGTAGCGCTCTTTTGACTTTGCCGAGGTTAAAGTTGAAATGTTGTTGCTAAGTTTGTCACCTATAGGTGTGCTATTGTTGTTACTATTATTGTTGTTTGCTCAGTGAACCACACAACTAGCAATTTTACGACGACCTAACTTACACGAACAAAGATACAGCGAGAACCACATGTCGCCGACTATATTACACACATACTTTGTAAGTATTTTTCTGAGCTTTTTCTTGTTGTTGCTGTTTTAAACTTTCCGCTTAATCAACAGAATGTCTTTAAACTTTGCTGCTTGCAAGAAACTGGTTTTGCGCCACAACACAGCTGCCAAGCCGAGTTGTCCAACGAACTCACAGCATGACTGCGCCTGTATGTGTGTTTACATATGTTTACTTATGTATGTATGTATGTATTTGTGTGCATATGCATGTGCTCTCACGTGCGTTGCGTCGACAAGCGAGTCAAGGCAATTAGGGTTTAACGCTGAGTCCTTTCTAGTTCGGGTTGTCGCCGCTTAAGCACACTGGCTGCTGACGTCGCTGTTGCTCTTGTTGTTGTTGTTGCTGCTTCCGGCGAATTTATTTTTGCACCTTTCATTTAGCTTGAACTTGCTTGCGCTGCCGTCTTCGTGATGTTTGTTTGTTTGTGCACTTTCTTCTGCCGTTAATTTGTGTTAGTGTTGCCAGCTTGCGTTTATATATGCAGATTTAATAAATAAAGCCGCTATTTTTGCACACTTTCGCTCACTCTCTAAACACACATACATATATCACACTATTTGCTATTTAATTAAACACTCGTTGGCATTTTTATTATTGTTTGTGTAAAACAGACTTTTGTTGCACACTTCTCTTGCTATTTGCCGCCTCAGCCACTTTGTTTAATTATTAATTTTTGCTGCGTTGACGGCAACGTTCCACTTTTGAATTAATTACTTGTTAACTCTCTTGCGTTTGTTGTTGTTTTTCGCACTGTTTCCACTTATTAATTTATTTTTGTATTCACCATTTTCCTTTTATACATTTATTCGTATTTTAATGCACTAAAAGTATTTAATTTATTTATTCTTGCACAATTTATGCGCACTAACAAATAATTTTTTCGAATTAATTATGAGATTGCATTTTAATTTTTTCAACTCATTAGCATAATTACAGTAATTGAAGTTTAAAAAATATTGTAATTAAAGTGCTGGGAACGGCACGACACCACTCTCTTCAATTACCATATATACTTCCACTCTTCTTCTCGCCTTTCCTTTTCGGCTCACAGCTAATTCGATTAACTCGTTCGCCTAAATAATTAAGCCAAATTGAATTATCTTCGAATTTTCCTGCATTTCCTGCAATTAAGCGCACGAATAATTTTTAAAACCTAAACCACAAGCTTACCAAGTGAATTATGGCACATTCGCGGTTTTCACTTATCGTACCGTCATGTTAGTAATATTTACGTATGTTGTTTCCACAAAAAAAATAACCGGAAGCAAAATTTCGAAATATAAAAAAAGTAAATTAGCGCTAACAGCTTTTTACTGAGAATAAGCAGTGGTCATTAATTAAACTCTTATTCAAAGAAATCTCCAATTACCGCAGAAATTAAGGTGTGTGTTCTTCTAAGTGGAACTAAGAACCCGAAAAAATCAAAATGAGCACTGGAGGCTATCCCAGTTGAGGCTTATAATAAGTGTATGAAAAATTGGCAACGCTGGCATATTTGTATGGGCTATGGGTCCGGGTCGAATTGGATCAGAAGGTAAATATGCGATGGACCAATTAAAAGCCAAAGTCTGTTTGGGCGATATTTTGCTATATGTTTTTATCCGTGCTGAGACGTGAAAGCATCATGCAAGGCATGTTAACAGTAAGGTTGAAAATTAGACTTACTGGTTCTTTAAAGCATATGTCAGTTCTAATTACTATTAACGCAACAAATACCTAACACCAAAAGTAATTTTTCAATTGATTATACTGCTCTAACTAATCTCTAGTTTTATAAAAAAAAAATTGAGTCTACCATTGCTTTTCTTTAAAATTTTGCTCAGCAATAGCACCGTTATTTTAAGACATGAACTTATGTTATAGCCTGACTTTGCACCATCTATCGATCATAAACTTAACAGAAACTCTTTATAGGATTTCATAAAGTAGCTTGAAAACTTTAGAAAAATACATTTAGTGGTTTCAGAGTCAATAAGATTCGATTCTTATATATATGCCTAGGTGTAAGTCCTAACAAGATTTTAGTCGATATACATAGACGAGTATTTACTGGAGAGCAAATGCAATTCCAAATGCTATTCGAAATTCTAAACTGATTTGTGGGAAATAAAGTTTGGGGACAATATAGCCTTATGCTTAAGTAATCATAGTCTGCGAAGTCTTTCTTTATATATTAGTTGATACTCTTCAAAAAATAGCGAATCGAACCAACAACTGGTATAAATGCAACGGATTGGAATAAGCAAAGAGAGACTAGACAGAAATGTGCCACTTTGGTATTGTTAAGGATATTCAGAGCTTAAATAAGCGTAATAAGTAAAGATGTGAAAACGAAAACGAAAACGACTTTTGCATTTTACGAGTGTCGTTTTTAGATATGTGGTTTTCTTTTAGGCAATACTTTTTCCAAGCTGGTCTTTTTGACTGCTGTTACTTTATTTATACCCATTTTATAATGAACATACTTACTTCCGATTCGATTGCATTACATAACGATAATTGCTCACTATTCGCAGGTTGTGTGGTTGTGTCAAGCAGTCTAAAAAAAAATAATATACGCGAGTATAACTTCAAGCACATATTATGAAATTTCATTAATTCCAAGGAACGTCATATATGATATTTATAGTGGGTTCTTAAGAAGTCAACAAAATAATCCGCAAAGCCAAGCGCTTGACAACAAAACCATATTTCATAATTTTTGCCTAAGAAGCAAAACAAAAAAAAAATGATTGAAATTGACCATAAAAACAAAAACATAAGCTGCGCAGTATGCAGTGAATTACAGTTGAGTGCAAATGTCAACAGAACTTTTACTAAACAAAAACTCAAAAAAAAAAAATCGCTTAAAATTTTTCTAAGAAGAACTTCAACAAAAAGCGCGCGCCAGTAAAAGCTGCTGTAGCACGTTCAAGTGGCTGCACGCGTTCGCTCTTCACACACGCACACACATTTACTATTTGCTTGATATGAACTTATGTGGCAAGCAACACGAGTCTGTAGTCTCGCCTTGAAGCTGGGATTATTCGCATATAATTTGTAGCATGTTCAATGACAAAAACAAATATTTGCGAAAATAATAATAAAGCAGATGAACAAGTCTAGCATATGTGATAGCTGCTAGTCTCCCCGCTACTATCCGCTTTCACACACTTTGTGCGCGCTGCAGTTGCTGAGGCACTCGAGCACGTCTGCCGCTGTGTAAGTGTGCGGGTGCATGTGTGTTTGTGTGTGTATGCTGAACGAAAGCTTTGCACTTCGCAACAATGCAGAGCTGGTCATGCCGCCGCTCACTTCTTGCCCCTTCAGCCAACTATTGGCGTTTACATTTTGTTTATGCTTTGTATGCACTCTTACTTATGCTTAACGGGATTTCCGTTCGCTGAAGCGCACACTTAATGGCGTTTTTCGTTTTCTGATTTCCGTTGTGCATTTAGAATTCGTTTTTCAAAATTTTTTTTTGATTTTTTTTTACTCTGCTTTGATTTGAGTTCACCGAATGTGGGTCAATTAAGTATGCAACTTTGCACAAACGAAAACACACTCAAACGCTGGCTTATACAATACCAGTATATTGCACATGTGTGTATGTGTATGTTTGTGCAAATGAGCGGGCTCTATTGTGTGCTGAATTCAAACAAATTTCAAACCCGCGTCGAAGTTAAATTGAATTTCCGCAGCAACTTTGCAGATTTCAGCTGATAAGCGTTAGCAACCGCATAAAGGACCATCAAAACGACACCAACGAGTTGGTATTGAAAGAAGCCACAAAGCAGTTTTTCACTACTGCTTGACCGTTTTTAGCTCGTAAGTGCCTCGTTAGATACCTCGTTTTGTCACATTAAGGGTGTCATTCGCAATTGTAATGTAACTCCTAACAACCGGTGGGAAGTTATGAAAGCTTTACCGCTAAAAATATTTTCGAGCACTAAGTTATCATTGAAATGGAGGGGAGTGGAGTGTAGTTTTTTATTATTTTTTTCATTGCGGCACTGCCTTAAATACTGAGTTTGTGTTATGATCTTCGTTATGCAAAACTAAAACAATTTATTTGGATGGTAAATAAATTCATAGTTTTTAAAGATTTGCATTGGCAAATTTAATATTCTCTAAATATTAATTAAATCTGCTCTCACTTATCTTAGGTTTCAGAAAAAGCTAACGCCAAGTATTTGGAAAACATTTGCTTACACACATACTCGCCTACATTGGACGCTTTGTGGAGGAACTTCATACTTTATGTGGATTTATTGTTCTACAAGCTGACAGATGTTTGTTTACGATTCTAAAAGTTTGTCTGGCGATTTTGAGCAATGAGCTTGCTAGAAATTTTGGGTTTCCAATAGAATCACGGGTACGAAATCGTTGAAAATATTGTAGAAGAAGAGGAGGGAAGTCTAATCATATATTATTTCAAATCGTAGGCATTGAATGAAGTTATCGAAAACTTGCCTCTGTTAAAGGCGATAACATAGAAAAAGTTAATAAAGCACTACCTGAAAAATGTTGGATCGGTAGTTTTCTCATAACATGCCTTAAACTTAATTTTTTTGTTACAAAAGTAACTATGCGAGCAAATATATTTAAAACCACTCGCAGCAAGATTGGTGCAAACGTTGCTACTATAAAACTTCATTACAAGACATCGAGGGATCATGAATGTTTTAATTGATACATTTTTCTAGCGTTTGTTTTATACTCTGAATAGGGTATACTAAGTCTGTCATGTTGTTTGTAGCACTCAAAAGGAAACATCGGAGACCCTATAAGCTATATAGATAAATGATCATGATGTTGATGAACTGAGTCGATTTGGCTGCTAGTCTGTATGTCCGTCTGTCCGTCTGTATATACGCAAACTAGTCCCTCAGTTTTAGAGATATCGATAGGAATTTTTTCACATGTCCTTTTATCACCAAGAAGCTGCTCATTTGTCGAAACTGCCGATATTGGACCAACATAGCACAAAGCTGCCATACAAACTGAATGATTAAAAGCAAGTCATTGTGTGGAAAACTCTTTTTTTTATAAATTCAAGGTATCTTTACACAATTTGGCTGTGATTAGTGTCCAAGTCCTCGTTCAGATCGGACTACTAAAGCTTAGAGCTGTCATTCAAACTGACCTATCAAATTCAGAAGATTTGAAATTTGCATACAGGGTGAATTTTTAAGCAAATTGGATTACCACCAGACTTTGGATCAGATTAGAATCAGAAGGTACCTTTCGAAAACAGTATACGTCTATTGCTGAGGAATTTTGTAGTGTACTGAACAGTGAGGTATTGTAAAAATGTCATCAACTTATTGAAACTGTCAGAGATTAATGTCTGGAACTCAACGCATATTGAAGAATGATTGTTTGGTTTCTTTATATCAAAAGGTAAAAGAAACATATTGTATTTAATATTGCCTGCACAGCATTACCAGCTTTCATTGCTGTACTCGAGTGTTACAGGAAGTAGTACTGTTGTTTTACAATCAAGCATTAATAAATTTTAAAGGAGCAATGTAAGTAAATATATTTTGGATAGAACCTTTTCTTTGGCAGAGTGTTAACATATACACAAAAGAGCTAGTATATCTTGTATGCAGAACTTCAGCCGTGTGTCATGGATATTTCGGAAACAATAACTTTTTCATTCATACATATATTTAGCTGCTTATATAGTAGCATATCAATCCGTTAGTTGAAACTTTACGTCAACTTTAGCACACCACCAAATTTAAAAGTCATCGGAGGGGACTCGAGCTTTAAGCGCATATGCACATTAGAGCTCATACTTTGTCAACGAAAAACTCGCATGACAGCAGTCACGAGTTTTGTTCAAAGTTTTCAGTGTACTTTTTTAAAATGTTATACGACCTGATATGCGCAGCAGTTGCACTAATATACACATACATATATATGTGTAATTAAGCGCGCAACCTTTGGCGAGGTCATTGCCATGGACGGCAACATGTTAGTGAAAAAGTTTAGACAAATCCAATTGTTCCAGCACGCAGCGTTGGCGTTAGTATGCTTCTCGTTTGTTGGGCGGGTAATAAAAATGTCAACGACAGCAACAAAAACAAAAA